ACACACACACACACATATATACACAGAAACTTATAAATATCACTTTCTTCAAATATTAAATATTAGGATATTAACTCAGTTTTGATAGACCTAAATAATTTTCTTTGCTTAATATAGCACCAATATGATAAGATTGTTGAAGAAAGAGACTCAGAATTAGGACTTTATAAGAGCAGAGAACAAGAACAGTCATCAGTGAAAGCATCTTTGGTAAGATACAGTGTTAAATCTTTCTTTAACGAAAACTATAAAAAAACTTGTTTAAATGAAATCTAGTCATGTTCAACTAGCAACTTTCATATCTGTAGGGTTTTAAAGGATATTTTATGATGAATTTATTTCTCTATATACAGAATTGAATTTACTTGGAGCACTGGTTTACATTTTTATTGTCTTGAGAAATATATGGAAGTGCTTATAAACTTCATGTTTCTTTTTCTTTAGGAGCTTGAACTATCTAATCTAAAAAATGAACTTTTGTCCATTAAGAAGCAACTTGAAATAGAGAAAGAAGAAAAAGTAGGTTTTTTTTTTTGCCTTATGGGTAAAAGATTGAAAGATTTAGATGCAAATTTGTGCTTTAAGTATGTTGTACTAGAAAATAATTTTATTAATTTGGATAACTAGAGATTAGAAAATTCAGTTTTCCCTGCTAGCGTTTCCCTAGAAGTATTTAGCATTTAAATGCTAAACACATGAGGATGTGTGCACCTTTAAGAATAGAAATGCTTTAAAAATAACTATTTGAGAAGTATTATCATATATTAATATTTAAAATACTTTCATATGACTTTTCAGCTATTCATTGTTTCAGAAAAATGGCTCATATCTTTTGCAGTTTACAAGATGAATTGACTCACACTTTAAAATTTAAAATGCTAGTTATTTATTTTTTTGCTTTCTGTGTGGCAGGCACTGTATTGAATACCCTACTTTAATCCTTATAATAATGTTGTGTGCAATACCTATTATTGTCTTCATTTTTACAGAGATTGGGCTGTTGATTCAAGATTACATAGTTAAGTCTTAACAGTGCTACAGTAGCAACCAGATTGGGCTGTTGATTCAAGATTACATAGTTAAGTCTTAACAGTGCTAAAGTAGTAACATGAGTTTAGAGGAAACAAGCCTCCAAACCATAGCACTGGATAAATGATTAACAAACATAGTAGTTCCTCCTTGTCTGTCATTTCACTTTCCATGGTTTTAGTATCCACAGTTAACTGTACTCCAAAAATATTAAACAGAAAATTCCAGAAACAAACAATTCTCAAATTTTAAGTTGCATATCATTGTGACTAGCATGATGAAATGTAATGCTATTCTGCTCTTTTATCTTTGTCCTTTTGCCTCAAAGTCAGCCTGTTCTAATACTTATGCTGTGACCCTCACTTTTCTGTAATTTGTCCCTTACATTTTACATTTACTAACCTTGATTAAATCTCTGATTTGAGTCTTCTTTTCTCTTATAGTTTTAATCATATTTATTGTTATGATATGTATTTTATTTTGGATTTTTGGGATAGCCCTGGTCATGATATATATTTTTAAATGCATCACTGATTTATAACCAATATTTTGTTTAGTGCTTTTATATTAGTAAATTAGAATGGTTTGTAGTTTTATTTTTGTTGTGTGTGTGTGTTTGTATGTATGTGTGTATATGTACATGTAACATGAAATTAACTGTCTTAACATTTTTTAGATGTACTGTTCAGTGGTATTAAATACATTCACATTGTTGTATGAATATATTTCTCGTACTCATCTTGCAAAATTGAAACTCCATATCCATTAAGCACTAATTCTACACCATTCCCAATTCTTGGTAACTACCTTTATCTCTTCTCTTTCTTATTTTGACTACTTTAGTTGCTTCATATGAATAGAATCTTACAGAATTTGTCCTTTGGTGACTTTAGTACCCACAGTTAACTGTACTCCAAAAATATTAAAAAGAAAATTCCAGAAACAAACAATTCTCAAATTTTAAATTGCATATACCTTTAAGGTTCATTCATGTTATGGCTTATGATAGGATATCCTTTTTTTAAGACTGTATAATATTTCATTGCATGCATAGGCTGTATTTTAAAAATTCATTCATCTCTTATTGGTTATTAGGTTGCTTTGATCTGTTGTCTGTTGTGAATAATGCTGTGATGAATGTGGGTATGCATATATTTCTTTAAAATCCTGTTTCGATTTCTTTTGGATATATACCTAGAAGTGGAATTGTTAGATCCTTTGGTAATTCTGTTATTAATTATTTGAATAACCTTCATATTATTTGTCATAGTGACTGAACCATTTGACATTCCCAATTGCAGTATAAAAGAGTTTCAATTGAATTGCTCCATGTCCTTGTCTGTCCTTGTTATTTTCTGCTTATTTGATAGTGGCCATTCTACTGTATGTGAGATGATCTCTCTTTGTGGTTATGATATAAATTTTTCTTATGATAAGTATTTTTCAGCATCTTTAAATGTGCTTGTTGGCGATATGTATATCTTCTTTGGAGGATTAATTATTCACGTCCTTATCTATTTTTTAATCACATTAATCATTTTAATTGCTTTTTTAAAATTGACTTGTCATTGAGTTGCTTATAGGTTCTGAATATTAACCATTGTTGGTATGATATATATTTTAATAATGTTCTTGTCCTTTTATTTTTTTGTTAAATATTAATAATTATCTTTTCTCTGAAGTGTATGCATGATTGTAACGTGTATAAGGTCTTTTCATTACATCACTGATTACCCTTATATCTTAAGTAATATACCTAATATTTTTTCCTGCTTCATCTTCCCCTGAAAAAGTAATTTTATTATTTATTATTTGACATAGTCAAGATTTATTTTAAAAAGTATATTCTATTCCTTTATCATGATTCCTGTATCTAACTTGAGCTTTATATTTATGTAGATTCAATTCATCATTTATGTTGAACCTTTTTTTTTTAGTTCTTAAAATAATTCTCATTTTACCTATAAGTCCATTGGTATGAGGAAACTATTATCAGATGATGTCTTAACTTTCAATTAGTATAGATTGGCTTTATGAAATTATCGAAAACCACCTTCCTCACATGTTTGATGAATCTCTCCCTAGTGATGTGAAATTTGTTTATTTTCTATCTGGATGTGAATGAAGAGTTGTAAGATCTTCTTAGTGATCCTTCCAGCCTTAAAATCTTTTACTCTGTGGTCAGAACTAGTATGGGGATTATGATATATACTGGTTTATCTATTTAAATGGTATACCCAGGAACTAAAAAAAATAGCTAAAGTTTAGGTTTCTGGTCTCATAGACTCATGAAATTTATTACCTGACCCAGATATGCTTATTTTTTTTGGTGGGTCAGGTAATAAATTTCATGAGTCTATGAGGTTACATTGTGACTAGGGTTATATTGTGACTAGTGAGAAATAGTTCTAACATTATAGATCCTTAAGAATTGGTGTTATCTTAGGGCCAATTTTAATTATCCATAAATATTAATATTTTTATCTTTAATACACAAGATAGTAGGAAGGATGCAGGCAGTATGTATTTGCTATATTGTTGCAGAGTCCTTCTATAGGACAACTGGTCTTCCTTTTTATTTAGAAAGTTTCAGATTTGTAAATTTATTTAGATCTGAAATTTGGTCATGGTGCTGTTATTCTGTATTCAGGTAACCCTGCTTTATTCTGTCTTTGCCAGGCCGGTTTACTTACTCAGATTATAGCAACATTTTATTTTACTTAGATTAAATAGGGATTTTAGTGGGCTCATATCTTTGATCCTAAGGAACTCATGATCAGTTGGCCACCACCAAAGATACATGTTTGTATATGAGGTAATTCACACCTTAAAAACACATTGTAGGTTTTTTTATTTAATCTTATTTTTTTTGGTGGGGTTCTTTTTTTTTGTCTTTTTTGGAACTGGGGGTCGAACCCAGGGCTTTGCGAATGCAAGGCAGACGCTTTGCCACTGAGCTACATCCCAGCCACATACAAACAAAGATGTTGTGTCCGCCAAAAACTAAAATATAAATATTAAAATTTCTCTCTCTCTCTCTCAAAAAAAAAAAAAACAAAAAAAACAACACATTGTAGGGGCTGGGGATATAGCTCAGTTGGTAGAGTGCTTGCCTAGCATGTACAAGGCCCTGGGTTCAATCCCCAGTCCCATAAACAAACAAACAATAACAACAACAAAAACCCACATTGTATCAGATTTATACTAAGATATCCAACAAAAACAGTTGTAGAGATAGTGCAGTTATGGGAGATCTTTCTCCTTTTGTCTTCTAGAAGGCAGTATATTCTGGGAATCAGAAATGGTGCAGTTGTGGGAGATCTTTCTCTTTTTGTCTTCTAGAAAGCAGTATATTCTGGGAACCAGTGTAATATTGCTCATTTAGCAAATATAAAAAGAAGACAAAGTTCCAGCTCTCTAGAGTATACCATTAGACATTATAACTGAAGATTAACCATTGGTAGATAATGGATACACAGTAAGAACAATAAATACTATTAAATGAGTTTATTGCCTGCTGTTTTTATGATGGAATGAGTTGTGCATGTGGGTTTTGTTGTTGTTTTTTTTTTTTTTGCATAGGAACAATACTGTCAGAGAGGTACTATGATGTATGCAAGGTATTCAGTGAAAATAGATAAATTCTGTAGCTTAGCATATTACACTTTCCACAGTGACCATAACATTTTTATCATTTTATCTTGGCTGCTTCTATACAAACATTATATTCTTTAGCAAAAGTTACATATTATTTCCTATTGTGAATTTTTCCGTACTTATTCAGGTGATTATATTTGCTTCTCAGTATTTCCCTTCTTTTTGTCCCTCACCTCTGCTTACCTTGTGCTGAAAGTTTATTCTTTATTTTAAGTTCCACTGAAATAAACCTTTTTTTTCAACACACAGGGAAAATTTGATTCTGCCTTTAACAGCCCATAATATTTTGTATTTCTTTGCAGTTCTTCATAATTACTTGTATGAATTCCTTACTCTGCAATCCTTTTTTAAAATTTTTTTTAGTTGTAGGTGGACACAATACCCTCATTTTATTTATTTATATGTGGTGCTGAGGATCGAACCCAGGGCCCCACACATGTTAGGTGAGCGCTCTACCACTGAGCTACAACCCCAGCCCCTCTTCAGCCTTATTCATTATTTTATTTTGCAAATAAGAAAGTTGAGATTCAGAGTTTAAAGAGACTTGATTGCACAGATACATACTAAAAACACATCAGAAGAAAAAGTTTATCAAAGCCAAACCATACCACTATAGAAAGGAGATAATTGTTTTTCTTTTCCTTATTTTATAAGATTGAAATGTAGTCTTTTTTTGTTGATAGTTAATAGGAAGTATTTTGATATTATTATTATTATTTTAATAATAATATTTTGTGCTTTTGGTAATAAGAATATTCATTTGTGATAATAAAAATGATTATGTTGTATACATTTGATATTAATTTTTAATAGGAAATCCTCAAAAGAGAAGCAAAGGAAAACATAATTACTCCCAAAGAAAGAAAAGACAAGGTGAGAGTTTTATGTAATTCTGATTTCCTGTATAACCAAATCATTTTCTAACATTTGCTTGTAAATAATCATTTTGTTCATAAGTAGAAAAATAACATTTAAAATATACCACACAATTTTATTTCCTAAAGTTTTTTTTGCTATTAATCAAAAGCATTAGCTAAAAATTTCAAAACACCTTTCATTTGGAGATTAGAGATGATTTCAGTCTTTACAATTCTTATATAGTATTGTCTAAAGGTACTTGTGTTTTCTCTCTTGAAAAACTTCAAGAGAACTTAGATTTATCTAATTTGAGTTGAGGGGACTAAATAAATAACATTCTGTTTTCCTCATTTAAGTTCTAAAACAATTAATAAAAGCAAAGGAGAACCAAAAGAATATCTTTATTGTTGATAAAATACTATATTGGACTATATGGTTTATAATTAAAGGCAAGAGAATTTCTTAATCTTGAAATTTCAGATTAGTCAGATTTACCTATTCTGTCATAAGTAAACCTTGACTTGGACAGGTCTACTCACTTGATGGCCAGTTTTTTTTTTAATATTTATTTTTTAGGTGTAGATGGGCACAACACAATGCCTTTATTTTTATGTGGTGCTGAGGATCGAACCCAGGTCCCGCCCATGCTAGGCGAGCACTCTACTGCTGAGCCACAATCCCAGGCCCTTGATGGCCAGTTTTAATGTAAAAACTTATGGCAGAAACAACAGCAAATGTGTGCTTCCTCTTGTTTTTAAGAGGAGGAATAATGAAGGAGCTGTACTATAGGTATCCGGTTTGTCCTTCCAAATTCACCAATCACATTAAACCATTGTTCCTTTCCTAAGGTGGTGGTGGGAGGTTAGGAATGTTACCCTAGTAGAGCTTCCTACACATGGAAGGAAGCAACAGGTATGGGGAGGAATACACCTCAGCCTCTATAAACCTATTTGATAATATTGGATTGTTATGGAAGAATTTTGATTCAACCAGTTTTTAGTTAACACAATTAAGTATTTACATTTGAATTCAAAAGAGAAAGAAAGAAATATTAGACCTGTCAGTGAATATTTAGTGCTTCATTTGTCCCAGACACTGCAATAAATACTTGAAAACAGTATTGGAGAAATTTTCATTGTAATAAAACTAACCTTCAAGGTTGGATGTAGTCTTAGGGAATTGTTTTATAAGGATAAACAAATTGAATAATCACTAATATTCTTTTATAAACATAGGAGTTATTTATATTAAAAGTATATGTCATAAATTCTTATAGGGATGTTTTGATTTATGTGTAATTCCATATTTTATGCCTATTTTTTGTATATTTTGTTTGCAGGGGGTTTGGATAATACCAAATTTCATTTTTATATGTTTTAAAAATGAAAAAAGTGTTTCAAGAAGTGAAGAAATTTAACTAGGCTTTTTGGGTACTTTATTCTAATATTATGGAAATATCATAGGCCTTATATATAATAATCATTAAAAGTTATCAAACATTTCTGAGTTTGGGCAAGTTGCTTAACTCTTTCATGCCTGTTTCCTCATATGGGAAAAGCTTCTAATAACACCTACCACCTAAATTTGCTAGGAAGATTAAATGAAATGACGTTCATAAAGCATTTTAAACAGTATTTGGCATAGAATAAATGTTGTATGTTTGTTTAAAAAATAAAACAAAAAAGTGCATGTTCTTTATATATATATATCACTAGAAATAAAATATTCAGAAAAGATGTAAGGAATAGTGTTTCCACCATGTATTATGAAGAAGGACAGATAATCTCCAATGGTGAGCCTTTTCTTTTAGGCTACCAGGAAAATGTCATTTCCCTGACATGCCACAAGGTGGTACAGTGACTTCAAATTGTCATTCTCAGGCCAAATCGCCGGGAAGTATGTTCATGAAAAGTCAAACTTTGGAGGTTCCAAGGGTGACCATTGATGAATCAAGAGATCAGAAAAACTTTATAAAAATTGTTCATTCATATGCCATGTGCATATATGATTAAATGACCTGTGTAACTCTACATTATTTACAACCAAAGAATTGAGAAGTTATATTCCATTTATGTATGATGTGTCAAATTGCATTCTATTGTAATGTATAACTAATTAGAACAAATTTTTAAAATTTTTAAAAAGAAAAAGTAAAAAAATTGCTCATTCAATTACGATGTAATAATATGTAGGAAAAAGGACATAGAAATGCAATTCTGAAAAGGGGTTACCAAAATTCATATCTGCTGGAAAAATGACTATGAAATGATAGATGAGTAGAACTGGGCAAAAAACTATGAATCACTTAATTTGGCTCCTTGATTTTATGGATAGACACAATTTAAGCCTAGAGATGCTTGGAGATTGTTATGGTTAGATATGAGGTGACTTTCAAAAGTTCATGTGTGAGATGATACAAAAGAGTTTAGAGGTGAAATGATTGGATTAGGAGAGCCTTAACCTAATCAGTACATTAATTCACTGACGGGGATTAACTTGGTGGTAACTGTAGGCAGAGGGTTGGCTGGAGGAGGTAGGTCATGGGGGGAGGGTCACGCCTTTGGAGTTTATATATTTTGTCTGTGGTGAGGAGTGTGCGCTCTCTCTTTTTCCCTTTCCCTCACTCTCACCTCTTGTTTCTCTCTCCATCTTTTCCTCTCTTCCCTCTTCCTGGTGGCCATGTCTTAAGCTGTTTTCCACCTCCAAGTCCTTCCACAATGATGTTTGACTTCATCTCTAGTCCATAGCAATGGAATCAGCTGTGTGAACTAAGACATCTAAAACTGGGAGCCCCACATAAACTTTCCCTCCTTTAAAATTTTTATTTTTAAGTCACAGCAGTGAAAAGTTGACTAAAACAATAATTTACTTAAAATCACCTGGCGAGAATAGTGAGAAATCCAGGAGTGAAGACCATATTACATGGCTCCTACTTCAATGTTTTTTTCCCCTCATCTTTTTTATATGCACACAATATAACATTATTTCAGTAGTTTTTAATAGTACATGTAGTCCACCTCTTAATCCTGCACCCCATACTCTCCTAATTCAATCTTACTGTAAATTCAATCATCAAGCTTTTGAAGTATTGTCACTGTGACTCAGTGCATGTGTTTGTATGTTTGTTTCAGTCTTCATGTGAGTGATTGCCAGGATAGTATTCATGGAGATGGTGGTTACCAAAGGAAGTGGTAAAATAGAAAGTGATGAACATGGGTTTCATGTAAGATTGCACTAAAGGAATTATTAATAGCTTTTACTAGAAAGCTAGATTAGATGCTAAAGGAAACTGTATACAAAGGTAGAGAGGACTAGAATGAAGGAAAATGAGTTGAAGTAAGGTTAAGTATTTGGAGTAAATTTACAGTTGAGTTAATTTCAGAATTGAAGCAAATAGCCATTTACTCAGTTTGTTTTTCATGAAAATATCTTTTTCTTTATTTTCATGATTCCCTTCCCCCCACCACTACCTTTTTAGGGGTGGTGCTGGGGATTGAATTCAGGGGCACTTGACCACTGAGCCACATCCCCAGCCCTATTTTGTATTTTTTTAAGAGATGGTCTCACTGAGTTGCTTATGCCTTGCTTTTGATGAGGCTGGCTTTGAACTTGCTATCCCCCTGATTAAACCTCCTGAGCCACTGGGATTATAGGCATATGCCACTGTGCCTGGACCTGTATCCCCCCTTTGCTTGAACATGAGTGTGGCTAGTAAATAGAGAAAGACGGATATTTTTATATATAAGAGAGAATGAATAAAAGAATACATAAAAGAGAATGGATAAAAATGGAAAGTAAATTGCCCTCTGGCTTTTAGGCTATTAGACTATTTCATAGATGAAGGCTTTTTTATTTTTTGCCAAGAAGGGAGACAATGATTGATTGATTTGAGAAATCTCAACTTTTGGTCAGTAGAGTAACCTTGTTTTCATAGCAGAACTATGAAGGCAGGGAAGAGGCATTTACTGTAATCATCTTAAATAGTCTATTAAAGTGACAGAGTAAGTGTAATTTATTCATGCTTAACTAATAAAATATAAATTTGGGGGTAAATTCTAGTTTGAATATTTTAGAATTCTACTAGTTATACTTTAAATTTAGAAATAATGAAAATAAAACTTAATGATGGAGTTATTCACTTTTGTTTGATACAGAAAACACAGACATCTTTATTGGAAACACCTGAAACTAATTATCGGAAATTTGACTCTAAAATAGCCTCTTCACAAAATATATCTCGAAATTTTTCATCAGCCAATCATGGCAAATCCAAAGATAAAAGAGACACTCTGTGGACCTCCACCAAAAGTACTTTATCTGCCCCATTACCAAAGGTTGGTTGCTGACATCCCAAGATAATAGTAACTTTCTTTTTAAATATTTTTTTTAGTTGTAGATGGACATAATATTTTTATTTATTTATTTTTATGTGTTGCTGAGGATCGAAGCCAGGGCCTCACACCTGTGAGCTACCAATGAGCTACAGCCCCAGCCCCAGAGAGTAACATTTTTTAATCAAAAAGAAGGTTTTGTGAAAGTAAATACATGTAATGCCAATGATTTAGGAAGCTGAGGCAAAAAGAATTGCCAAATTTGAGACCATCCTCAGCAACTTAGTGAGATCCCGTCTCAAAAAACAAAACAAAACAAAAAGTTAGAATTGAGGGCCTTTACACAGTAAAATTCTCTGGATTTAATCTCCAGTACCAAAAAAATAAAAATAAAAAAGATTTTGGTATCACATTATTCTTACGCATGCGCGCGCACACACACACACACACACACACACACACATACATAAAGCTTTGAAATAGCTCTTTGTTCTACTCTTTTTGTTGGCAGGCTGTACCAGGGTAGTGAACCGTTATTTAATGTAGGATAATGTAGAGCCTAGAGATTGTGAATGAGAACAGGGAATATTTAGACACCATAAAGTTTGCTGTTCTTATAGAAATTTGGCATTTTTGGAGTAAACACTCTGTAGGCTGCTTAAAGCCTTTGTTAATTTTCTGAGTTATGAAAAATATAATTTTGACCATTATTTAACCAATATTTTTTATTGCATTTATGTAGGAGTGAAATGTTAAGAGTTCTCATCACTCTGCCCTTTTGCTGATGTCACTGCCATTTTAATTATAAAAAATTTACAATATAATATGGAATACTAAACCTTAGTTAATGCAAATTACCTTACCAACCCAAGATAAACATTTTCTCACAGAGCAATAAGGAGCTTTATGGATAGAGCAAAACTCACTCCAGTCTTTGTTTTTAATTATAGATAGAAAAATTGGAAGTTCATTTTAAGATTATTTATTGTTGAAGCTGGAGAAGTCTGCCTCTCTTACTTTCTGTCCGTTTTTAGTTAGTTGAAAGAAAGGACAAAGCAGTCTATTATTGTGAATTTTTTGGAGAAAAAATTTCTGGAATCAAAGCATCTGAATTAAATTTCTATTCAAAATTTCTGTCTCATATATTTGACAATAAATGGAGATTTTTAACTGCTAAAGACTTAAATTGTATTGAATGGTTTATTAAATCCTTTATTAATAATATACTTTATTTGATAGAATGTCTTCTTTTTTTTTTTTTTACTTTCGTATAGGCATATACAGTGAAGACACCACCTAAGCTAAAAATACAGCCTAGAGAAGAAAAGAATACATCTGTTGAGGAAAATAATAAAAAGAGAAGAATGGTCTTTGAATTTGATATTAATTCAGATAGTTCGGAAACTACTGATCTTTTGGTAAAACATTGTAAATAATCAGTATTTATTGCTTATATAATTTATTATTTGTCTCATTATTTCTTGATATGTGTGTTTGTGTGTGTGTGTGTGTGTGTGTGTGTGTGTGTGTAAAATATGTACCTAGTATCTATCATTGCAGTACTGATGTCATGGAGCTAATATAATAGAACCCTTATGCTTTTTTTAGTATTTTTGAGGAATTAGCGGTCAAATAATTTTCCTCTAAATTTCAGAAAATGTGGCACTTGAAAATACTGGCAATAGCATTATTGGAATATGAAATGATTAATATTGTGTTGTTTTCCAGCAAAGATTTATAAAAATAAGTTAAAAAATAAATTGGAGTGAATATTTTTATAATCTTGTAGCCAAATCTGTTAAGGGTCTGCCTCTTTTTTTGCATGTTATACATGTTACTTTGACAGCACTTATTGGTTGATAATTTATATCAAGGTATGGTTGACAAATGTAAAATTTCACTCTTAATGAATTAATGTAGTAAGGACAGCATGTTTAAGGAAGCTATTTCCTCTAGCACTCTGTGGCTCTGTTTACTCCCTTTATATATATATATATATATATATATATATATATACTGCTATCTTCTAAAATCATAATGACAGTTTATTGAGAATAATTAAATTTAGTTCATTTAATTTAAAAACAGATAATGCTTATCTTACTAGATATAGCAAATCACCAAAAAATTTTAATGACAAAATTCTGACCAAAGCCATTTATTTAATTATTACCATTTGTAAGTATAAGATTATTTTTTCCCAACTTCAACATATGAGAGAGAACTTACAAACCTTATCTTTCTCAGTCTGGTTTTTCCCTTAACATACTGCTTTCTAGTTCCATCCATTTTCTGTAAATAACCCAATTTGTTGTTTTTTATGTATGACTGAATAAAACTTTATTATATATATATATATATATATATATGTGTGTGTGTGTGTGTGTGTCATCAATGATCATTAATGAAATCATTGATGATTGTCATTCTTACTGGAGTTAGATGATACACACCCCCCCCCCAGATTTTCTTTATCTATTCATCTGTTGATGGACCTAGACTGGCTCCATAACTATTGTGAATTTCATAACTATTGTGAATTTCGTAACTATAAACATGGACATGAACAAATTTTTGTAGTACACTGTCTATGATTCGTTTGGATAGATACTGAGGTATATCTGTATCATATGGTAGTTACAATTTATCAATTTCTGAGGATTTTTATACTGATTTCCATAGTGGCTATACTAATTTACATTTCCACCAATTATGCATGAGGGTTACCTTTTTCCTTCATTCTCTTTAGCATTTATTGTTTGTATTCTTTTTTAAACACATTTTTTTTAAAAGAGAGAGGGATAGAGAGACAGAGAGAAAGAGAATTTTTTTTAATATTTTTTATTTTTTTTTAGTTTTCGGTGGACACAACATCTTTGTTTGTATGTGGTGCTGAGATCGAACCCAGGCTGCACGCATGCCAGGGGAGCGCGCTACCGCTTGAGCCACATCCCCAGCCCTATTGTTTGTATTCTTGATGATTGGCATTTTTACTGGAATGAGATGAAATCTCAGTGTATTTTTGATTTGTATTTCCCTGATCACTAAGGATGTTTAACTTTTTTTCCCATATAATTGTTGACCATATATACTTCTTTTGAGAAGTGTCTGTTTAGTTCATTTGCCCCATTTATTGAACAGGTGTGTGTGTGTGTGTGTTTTGAGGTTTTTGAGTTCTTTTTATGTTCTGGACATTAATTCTCTGTCAATTGAGAAGCTGGCAAAGATTTTCTCCCATTCCATAGATTCTGTTAACTTTTTCCTTTGCTGTACAAAAGCTTTTTAGTTTGATGCCATCCCACTTATTGATTCCTGCTGTTATTTCATGAGCTAGGAGTCCTAGTGAGGAAGTTGCTGCCTATGCTTACATGTTTGAGAGTTTCTCCTAAGTTTTCTTCTAGCAGATGCAAAGTTTCTGGTCTTATTCCTAGACCTTTGATCTATTGTGAATTGATTCTTGTGCTAGTGAGACATAGGGATCTAGTTTCAATCTTTTACATATGAATATTCAGTTTTCCCAGGATCGTTTGTTAAAGAGGCTGTTATCTCCACTCTGTTTTTGGCACCTTTGTCAAGAATTACATGATTATAGATGTTTGTCTCTGCATCTTCTGTTCTGTTCCATTGGTCTACATTTCTATTTTTATTCCAGTACATGCTGTTTTTATTATTAGACTCCATAATATAATTTGAAGTCAGGTACTGTGAAGCCTCTGGCCTTACTCTTTTTGTTCAGAATTGCTTTGGCTATTCTGGGTCTTTTGTTCTTTCAGATGAATTTCAGGATGTTTTTCTTAGTTCTGAGGAAAATATCATTGGTATTTTTATTGGGATTATGTTGACTCTGTAGATCACTTTTGGTAGTATAGCCATTTTTATAATAATAATTCTACCTCTCCATGACATGGAGGTTTGGGGAATGGTTATTTTACTGAAACCTAGACTTGAATGATTAGATTATTTATTTGGGATCATTATGTTGTTGTTGTTTTTTTAATGTAGGCACTCATAGGTATGCACTTTTCTCTTAGAACTGTCTTTGCTGTGTCCCAGAGATTCTGTTATGTTGTATTTCTGTTCTTGTTTGATTCTAAGAATCTTTTTAATATCTCTCCTGATCTCTTCAGAAGTGTATTGTTCAATCTCCATGTATTTATATAATTTCTGTAGTTTTTCTTGCTATTGAATTATAATTTTATTCCATTATGATCTGTTAAGATGCAAACAGTTATTTCAACTTTTTTATTTCATAAGACTTGTGCCAAAAAAAAAAAAACTTGCTTTGAGTCCTAAATAATGATCTATTTTGGAGACAGTTACACAGGAAAGTGTATTTGCCTGATGTTGGATGAAATATTCTGTAGGTGGGTGTTAAGTCCATTTGATCTACAGTATGTTTTAACTCTCTAGTATCTTTGTTGATTTTATGTCTGAATGACCTACGTGTTAGTGAGAGAGGCATATTGAAATAAACCCAGTGTTACTATATTGGTACCTATCTGAACCTTTATATTGAGTAATGTATTTTTATTATGTAATTAGGTGCCCTGATATTTGGGGCACAAATATTAGTTATACATTCTAGTTGGGTTGTTCCCTATATCAGTGTATAGTGACTTTCTTTGTCTCATTTGGTTAATTTGGGTTTGAAATCTGGTTTGTTGGATACAATAGTAGCCACTACTGCTTGCTTTTGGGGTCCATTTGTGTGAAATACCATTTTCCATCCTTTCACTTTCAGCCTGTGGATGTCTGCCAATGACATTCTTGTGGGCAACAATTGGGTCTCATTTTTAGGTCTCAGTCTATGTCTTCTAATTGAAGAATTGAGGCCATTTATACTCAATGTTATTATGGAGAGAGATGTATTCTTGTTATTTTGTTTTATTTCTAATGTTTGTTTCTATATTCTCATTTGCTTATCTATTATTCTAATGAGATTTAATCTTTCCCATTCTTTTAGTTGTTTTTATCTTCATTGTCTGTGTATAGGATTTCTTTAAGCATAGTCTGCAATACTGGCTTAGTAGTCATGAAGTCCTTTAGTTTATACTTATCTTGGTTCCCCTTCCCAATAGCTTTATTTGCAGAAATGAAAAATTCTGTACTCAACTTCATGTGAAATTTGCAAAGGATCCTAAATGGCTAAAACAATCTTGAAAAATAAGGTTAAAGTTAAGAGAACTCACAGTTGTCAATAGTGATACTTACAACAAAGCTAGTGATTAAAACTATTTGTTAGGGGCTGGGAGCATGGCTCAGCAGTAAAACACTTGCCTAGAGGCACTGGGTTCATCCTCAGCACCGCATAAAAATAAATAAAGGTATTCTGTCCATCTACAATTTTAAAAAAATTAAAAAAAACTATTTGTTACTGGCAAAGGGACAGATATATAGACCAATGGAATAGAACAGAGAGATAAAAAAAATCAATTACTATAATGAGTTAGTTCTTGACAACAGTGCCGAGACCACACAATGGGGAACAGACAGTCATGGTTCTTTTCCCCACAACAGATAGTACTGGGAAAAATGGATACTTACATGTAAAAGAGTAAAGTTGGACCCTTACCTTATAGCCTATTAAAAAATTGATTTGAAATGGATCAAAGATCTACTTATAACTAAAACTATAAAAATCTAGAAGAAAATATTGGAGAAATTCTCATAACATTGGATTTGTCAACAACTTTGTATATACAACACCAAAAGTGCAGAATAAATAAAATAAAAGATCGATAAATTGAACCTCATCCAAATTAAGAACTGTTACATATCAAAGGACATTACAAAGAAAGTACAAAGACAAATTACAGAATAGGAGGAAGTATTTGCAAATAATTTGACATGGGTTTAATGTTTAGAATATATAAAGAACTTCCACAATTCAACAATAATAAAACAACTTCACAAAGAAAAAACAAAGAGAAGCTACAGAATGGAAGGAAATATTTGCAAATAATTTACCTGACCGGTGATTTAATGTCCAGAATATATAAAAAACTCCCACAACTCAGTAACAAAATAACCCAACTAAAAATGGGTAAAGGACTTGAATAGATTACATATTTTTTTAATTTAGTGTGCTATAATTGATTTTATTTTAGTAATAGTTTACCGTATGATTTTTAAAATAATTTCTCCTTTCTGATATGGCTTATTGGTACATAGTAGTTCTGAGAGTATTTGTAAAGGTAGCCCAACAACTTATTCTGTTGATATCTTAGAATTCATGAAAATCTGCTTGAATATTCTTATCTGTGAGGCTTCTGAAATTTAAGTGTGAATTTAATGAGCATGAAGATATCATGTGAACTGACTACTTACCTGAATGAATGAGTTGTGTAACGTATTCATTGAGAATGGATTCTATAACTAGATACCTGAATTTGAAACCCACCTCCACCTCTTACTAGTTGTACAATGTGGGACAATTACTTTAAAAATGTGTGTTTAAGTTTCTCATCTCATAAAATTGTGAAGATTAAAGCTAAATATGTTGGGGCTGGGGTTGTGGCTCAGTAATAGAGCACTCACCTAGAGTGTGCAAGGCCCTGGGTTCAATCCTCAGCACAATATAAAAAATAAATAAATAAAATAAAGGTATTATGTCCAACTAAAAAAATAAATATTAAAAAAACTAAATATTCAAAGCACTTAAAACTTGTAATAGCTGACTGGTATATGGAAAATACTAAATGTTATATATTATTATTTAGGGGAATTTCAAAATTCATAAATTGATAACTACAATTTTAAATATTTTATTGTGATGAAATACCCATAACAAAATTTATCATTTTAACTATACAGTAATCAGATGTGTTAATAAGTATATTCATAATGTGCATAACCATTATCACCATCCATCTATCTCTATAACTCTTTTCATCTATCTCTATAACTCTTTTCATCTACTTCATTAACTAATAACCCCTTTTTCCACCCTCCCTGCAGCCCACAGAAACCACCATTCTGTTTTGTGTCTATGGTTTTGTCTACTCTGAGTATCTCATAGAAGTGGAATCATACCCAGTTTGTCTTTTTGTGACTTTTTTCCACTTATAATGTCTTCAAGATTCACCCATGTCATTGTATGTGTCAGAATTTTCTTACTTTTTAAGGATAAATAATAATAATAAATAATATATATAATATACATGTGTATAATATATGTATATTTTGCTTGTTCATTCATCTGTTGGTGGACATTTGGATTGCTTTCACATTTTAGTTGTAATGCTACTATGAATATGAATTTTCCCTTCAAGACTCAAGACTCTGCTTTCAGTTCTTCTGGGTATATCCCCAGCAGTAGAATTATTAGATCATAGATAATATTATAATTTTTGTAGGATTATAAATGTCATTATCAGGTCTAAGTGTGAGTCGAGTGAGTAGAGTGGGGGAAGTAGGGGAGAATGTAGGGGAGAACAGTATTATAAAGACTCTAAAAACTGAAGAAGAAATCAGTAGAAAAGTACTTTTAGGAGTATATTTAATAGAATAAAAATCTAGGTCCTATTTTGGCTGATTGAAGATTTACTTTGTTGTCTTTTTCCTTCTTTGGTTTTTCTTCTTTCTCTTTTTCCTCCTTTCTTGTCCCTCCTCTCTCTTCTGTCCTTTCTTCTTTTTTCCTCCCCTTATTCTACTATTCATTCTCATATGTGATATGTTGACAGAATTTTAATGATGTATTGTTAACGATGGTAGTCCCAACATTATATTTTTGTATTTTTCTTCAAGAGCATGGTTTCAGAGGAAGAGACATCGAACAAACTATACAAGAATAATAATCCACCAGTTTCTCATCTTTGTGTCAGAACACCAAAAAAGGTAGCTTTTACATTTTATTTCAGAAAGCAAATTTTAAAAGCCTGGCTTTATTTTTTTTAAAAAAAATTAAAATCATTATCATTTTATTTTATTTTATTTTATTTTATTTTACATTTAGACTCCTTCATCTCTGACAACCCCTGGATCTGTGCTGAAGTTTGGACCTATGAGAAAAATGAGAGAGGACCACTGGGCTATCATTGCTAAAATGGATAGGAAAAAAAAACTGAAGGAAGCAGAAAAGCTATTTGTTTAATTTAAAAAAAACTCAGTGTGATTTCTAATAGCCTCAAATTTATGGTTAATTTAAAAATTATTTTCCCCAAAGCCAAATTTTATCTGGAAGTTAAGATCTTAAAAATATTTGCATATGGGGCTGGGATCATGGCTCAGTGGTAGAGTGCTTGCTTCCCATGTGTGAAGTACTGGGTTAGATTTTCCAGCACCACATAAATAAATGAATAAAATAAAGGTCCATCAACAACTAAAAAAAAAATTAAGAAAATTTGCATAAATAATTTGTGTTTCTTTATACAATTAAATTTTTTGGCTTAAATGTGAAATAACTATATTATCTGAAAACTTGTCGTTAAATTCAGATAATTAGATGATCATATTTTGTTACCTTTTACTGTATTCATGAAAACTGTTTTTACTAAATTTTCAAATCTTTAAAGTTAGTCTTTGCTAGAAATGCTTTATTGTGATTTATTCTTTACTATTAAATATTTTATATGCAAATAAATGTTTCTCATTGATTCTGTGGGGATATCAGAATAGCTAGTAATCATATTCAGTTTTTTAAATCTTGAGAGCTTATTAGTGGAGTTTTATACTTCTCAAGAAGCTTTGATTGCTCTATTTATGAAATTATTAAATGGCTTTTTATGTCAGGAAAAAAGGCTATAACAGTATGATTTCCTGAAGTACTTTATTTATTCAAGATTCATTAAGCAAATATTGAGTTTCTACTAAGAGTCAAGCATTAGGTCTAGATTAGGAATATAATAGTGAACAAAAAAGAAAAATATACTTTATTTTCTAGGAGTTTACATTGTAGTGAGAGAAACAGACAACAAAGTAAAATAAATAACAAAGTATAGTATTTTAGTTAATGATAATTACTAAGAGAAAAAAAATGAGGAATAGTACAATGTGGAGTATAAAGTGGGTTAGAATTTTGGGTAGGTTAGCCCTCACCTAAATAACATTTGAGTGAAGATTTGATGAGAATAGCAAGTGAGCTTGAGCCTTTCTGGGGGCAGAATATTCATGGCAGAAGGAATATGAAATACAAAGGCCCAGAGGGAGGAATGTACCTAGTATTGTCTGGGAAGCAGCAAAGAGGCCCTTATGGCAGGAGGACAGTGAGCAAAAAGGAGAGTAGAAAGAAGAGAAGGCCTGTTAATGGGATGGGGAGTTTAGGTGGCAGAATTTGAGTTTATAGATTACTACATAAGAATTTAGACTTCTACTTTGAATAAGATATGCAGTTATTAGATGATTTTGAGCAAAAAACCATGATCTGACTTATGTTGTAACAGGATCTTTCTGCTAAAATAGGGAAAACAGGTTCTAGTAATGCTTAGGAAAGATGATAGTGATCCAAACAAAAGTGACAGCAGCAGAGAAGCGAAGTAGTGAACTTTCAGATGTAGTATTTTGAAGGTTATATGGGATATGAAAGAAAGAGAATGGACCAAGAATAACTTCAATATTTTTGTCTGAACAATGGAGTTTTGCACATCATATGTTTGAAATGAACATCAAACATCCTAATACCAATAGTGGGTAGGATTAGAGATAGGCCTTAGACTAGTGATGTAAAGTTGAGAGTAGCATATGTCAAGCTATCAGACTGGATGAAAACATGTGCAATCATGGGAGTTATCTACCTTGAAAACAGAGGAGATCAGAGAGATGATAAGGAGCCATTAAAGTATTAGCCAGAGTGGTATTAGAAAAACTAGAACTATGGTTTCTTGGAAGTCGAGTAAGGAAGTATTTCAAAGAAGACAGTGTGATAAATTGTATTAAATATTTCTCAGAGATAAAGTAAAATTGATTAATGTGTTACTAATGTGGAGGTAATTGGTAATCATTATTGTAGTTTTAGTGAAGCAGAGTTTGATTGGAGGAGTTTAGGAGAGAATAGGGGGAAAGGAAGGTGGAAACAGCTATTACTATCAGGTATAAGGAACTCAAGAAATTACACTTTAAGGGAAGAAGATAAATGGAGAAGTTGTTGGAGAGGAAAGTGGTGTAGTGATCTTTTTATAAGAAGTAAGGATTATAACATGTTTGTATACTCGGGAAAGACTTAGGATATGGGAAAGATGATAATGTAGGACAGAAAGGAGAATTTTTGTTGTTGCTATTGAATGTTTTATTTGTAATAGGTAAGCAGAATGAAGTTTAGTGGATAAATGAAAGTATTGGCCTTTAGGTAGAATAGACAATTCTACCATAGTAACAGAGAAAAGTAAGAGTATATGGCACAAAATGATGATAAGTGGATGGGAGTTTATAGAATTTTTTGTTTCACAGCTTTGGTTTTTCTCTGTGAGGTAGGAATTTAGATCATTCACTAAGAAAGAGGGTCAAGGAAGAAAGTGCTGGAGGTTGTGAGAAAAAGAATAGATTTGAGGGGCTGGGGTTGTAGCTCTGTAGTAGAGCACTTGCCTTGCACACATGAGACACTGGGTTCATTCCTCAGCACCACATAAAAATAAATAATTAAAAACAACGGTATTGTGTCCATGTTCAACAAAAAAAATTTATAAAAAATGAGTAGATATGAAGGACTCAAAGTAGGAAAATGAATGGACTTTATGAAAAAAACAACACATGAATAAAAATAGCTTTGGAGTTGTCTGTAAATAATAATTATGGTGTGGTAGAATTATAATCCCCCTGTGGCAGCGATTGTTTTGTAGGAAAAGTTAACCAAGAAAAAATGAAAATGTTAATAACAGAAATTTTATTCTTCCTTCAATTTGTGTAACTATGACTATAATTTGATATGACTATAATTTGATAACCCAGCTATAGTCTTTCTAGCTTTTTCTCTCTAAATTGAAACTTCATAATTAGTCTCTTGAGGAAGCATTTTTGGAGAATTATTAGTCTTGAAAATATAATATTTCACATTTGAAACTATATATTTTAGAATATCTTAAAATAACATAGGACTTGTGCATTAGTTAATAGCTGCTTTGGCTAACCATTTACTTATTTATTTAAGTCAACATTAATGTGATTATTTAATGAATACCATTTCTATAGGTAGTGATTCAGGAACTCTGGCTCCTTCCAATTTGTAGTTCTGCCTGCTTCAACAATTGGCTTCTAAGGTTATTGCAAAAAGCAAAACATCATGAAGGACCCATGTGGGAAGTCTGTAATAACCCCAGACTTGAAACAGATGTATATCACTTCTACCCAAATTTTACTTTCTGTAACTGAGTCATATGGCCATGCTGAAAGGGAACTATGACCCATATTCTAGATACCTCTTAAGAGATCATGAAAGGATTAGGTGAACAACTTGCCAGTCTGTTAAAATTAGTTTACACTAATTTTCAATATTGTTTTTCCTTTTAATTAAAACAAAGAGGTAAGTGCCGGGGTTATAGCTCAGTGGTAAAGCATTTGCTGAACATGTGTGAATCATTGAGTTCGATTCTCAGCACCACATATAAATAAATAGTTTAAAAAACAAGGAGTTAAGACTCCTAAGGTTTGAGAGATTGCTTACACATGCTGAGCATGCTTCTATTTTGAAAACTTCCCACTCTTTCCAGCACTTCTGATTCTCCTTACTCTGCTCTTTTTCTCCCTATGGCATATGCCATTTTCTAACATATTTTGTTTACTCTGTTTATTATTCATTGTCTCCCTTTATTAGAATGAGAATTTTACAAAGGTAGTTATTTTTGTCTGCTTTATTTATATATTATAAGTGTCTAGAACAATGCCTGGCCCATGATAGGTACTCAATATTTGTTGAGTAAATAAAATATAATATATATTAAAGAAAAACTTACATGTACTGTATTGATGATTCTTACAACTAGTAAAATTTCAGCACTGAAATGTTGAGTACATGACTTGAAATCAAATATGAGATTTTCTTGAAATTATTATTATACAATACTGTTTTATTATAATAGCTTATATTTGATTCTTTTTTGAACCAACTTAGAATCAAATTCATAACTAATGTTATTGTTTTTACTTTTAAACAACTCCTAGTATTAATAAACAATTGGTTTTTCTTATTTTTGCAGTGTTGGCTGTCCAACCCAGGGCTTCACACATGCTAACAAGTACTCTTTATCACTGAGCTACACCCCAGCCCAACAATTGGGACATTTATAATTTGATTATTTAATTGTGAAAATTTTGTAAGCTAATTACACATTTATTAAGCTGTGCCTTTAAAAGGATTGAGTACATTTTAGATAGGAAGCTTTTTACCATTTGGGGTTGGAAGGAAACTCTAATTCCTTGTCTTTTAGCTACTCTTTGTAGGACTGATTGAGTTAATCTGAATGATGAGTTTAGGATAAACTGAGCATATGGGACCTAGACTCTTCTGTCTTTTGGGTATGGAGCTTCTAGTAGTGACCACATGATCTGCTCCATACTATTGTACAGGACAGGTAGAAGGATAGTTCTATTGTGAGGAGATAAGATTAATTCAGGAGACTATTTGATAAATAGGTTGGATACTTTGAGAAGAAAATTAATTGGTCTTTAGGAGAGCTAAATAATAAATTTAGCCTGTGTCTTTGGTGGCATTATCTGGGCAGTAGCCACATAGAATTTTTCAAATGGGGTACAGCTGTAGTCTGTGGTAGTCTTATCTTTACAAGAGTTACTGCCCCACCCCCACTGCCCCCCCTTTTTGTACCAGGGATTGACCCAGGAGTGCTTAACTACTGGGCTTCAATAGACAATGCATAAGCTTTGTCTGAAGCAAAACTGAGTCCCTTAGAGTATACAGGCCATAGACTTCAGAACAAGCCTGGGCTAAGTGGGCCTCAGTCAAATACCCTGTTAAAAAAGCAAATGTTAGCTATAATAGACTCAGACAGAAGTCACATTTCAGATAGACCTTTTTTTGAGGGGGAGTGGAATTTACTTTGATAGTAGAACCAAAAGAATTTGTTGGGGATGAGGATGAATTGAGAAGAAGAAAAGGTACAAAGCTGAATTTTGAAGTACTGTTTTGGGCATTTATAATGTTTGATATATTTTAGATATCCAAATAAAGATAATGAATGTATAGGCAATTGAACAAATGGTTATAGAATGTATAGGCAATTGAACAAATGGTTCTCTAGAATAAAGTCAATATTTAATGATCATTGGCATATATAGATGCCATTTAAAGTACTGGACTGAATGGACTGTCTTTACAGATAATAGATGTGCAATTATAGAAGAGA